ATAGCATACAGGGGACTATGGCATCATGTGGAGCTTCTCAACAGGTGATGATCTCAAAACTAAACACTTATTCCTGGGGCCACTGTGAGATACAGGAAGTTGGACTAGATGGGCCCTTGGTCTGATCCAGCAGGTCTCTTCTTATCACCAACTGCCAACTTCAAAGTCAGATCTTATTCCCTGGTGACCTCAATGTGCTGGTGACCTCAATGTCAACTGCCCCGCTCCAAGGGGCATCTGTGCCTTTGCTCCAGTAATCTCAATGTCAGGCTCTCATAACAATAAGGCAGCATAGAGGCAGGGAACTTTCCTTTCTGCACCCTCAAACAGTCAAAGGAGGCTGAGAGAAAATGTCATTCTGGCCCTGGATAAAATGGGGCATTGCACCATAATAGTATGGTGGTGGGCACATTGAATCTAGCATGACCTCTTGTTGGTACTGGGTATTTCAGAGACTTTTCCAATGAAGTGTGCTTTTTTCCCATACCATGGAGACCAATTCTGAAAATAACTGATGAAATCACTTTTGGCACCCAAAAAAGTCCTCAGGTTGTAGGATTATTCATAGTGGGGAAAAGATAATTTAGGATGTGTTGTGTAAACTGACTCAATTCGAGAAAATGGCTAACTGTTAAAGAGGAAGTTGGGATCCCACAAGATTCCTCCTCAAAAGCTGACTTAAAGCACACCAAATCTTCTTGTTCTTTAACTGCACACTGGGAGAGAGAGCTGGTGGATATCCTTTAGGTTTTTTGCGTCCGAGACTGTTCTCTGGATGACTTAAGTTTGTGCTTCTGTTTTGATTTCTTTGCCATACTAACAATAGGATTAGGAGGTTTCTTCCTCTTCTTCAAATCTGAAGAGGATGATTTCAGTGCCAATGTCAATCTTAAAAAGTTAGTCTTCGGTGATAATGGCACCCTTGAAGTTGACCATGTCTTACCAGTATCAAGTGGTGATATCTGCACCATCTCAGCTTCCCCTGACCTCTGGTCATCTTGTGTTTTGGTGGTGACTGGTCTGGAGAGTGTCTTACAGAATGCAAAGGTAAGAATCCTGCTGCGTGCAGCAACTTTTCCCAGCAGTAAACTTAATTTGTGACAAAACTGATAATTCTGAATCTTCTGCCTCTCTCCAAGACAGTAAAAACACTTAGAATGTCCCTCAGTGAGGGGGATTTTTTGGCACATATGACACACTTAACCAGGACCATAAAATGTGTTAAGGCCAGATCCTATCTGTTGGTGTTTATTCTGAGGGTGAATTACAGAAAAAGTCAATGACAATGGCTATTCAATGTAAAATAGATGAAGTGGGCTGCAACAAATGCTCCAAAGGAACTGAAGGGTAATCACTAGACACAGTTGCATACACACTGAAGGTGGAATACTCTAATTTTATTTATAAATTTAACAGAGACACACCCACATGTGTGACTCACAGACACCCTGAAGAAATCATGCAACAGTAGGCCCACTGAATCAAAGGGGATATAGTGAGTTAAGTTGATTCAGTGGGCCTACTCTAGTGTGATTTGCTATACTAAGCAACAGGATTTTGGCCAATGTCATGAAGAAACCTGTGGGTTTGGCTGGTTCCAATGCTTCTCAAAGGCCTGATGTGTTAATGAGCCTTCTAAAGCAGAGGTCGTCAACCCCTGGTCCACGGCCTGGTGCCAGTACCTGGCCTGAGCCGGACCAGGCTGCGAAGACAGACCTCCCGTCACCCCGCACACACTCCCCTCCCCACAGCTGCTTTGCGCACACATGCGTGTGCCAACACCGGCGAGAGCGCTCCTTCACCCCTTCATTCATGCACCCGCATGCGCAAAGCAACTGTGGGGAGGGGAGTGAGTGTGGGGGTGGGAGGTCTGTCTTCACAGCATGGCGGCAGTGGCAACAGGGGTGGCCCAGAGGTGGGAGGCTGAGCATGGCCGGGTGCTCCGGCTGCTCACCTCCCGGCGGGCTCCAATGAGGCTGGGGTGGACGCTCCTCACTGCCCTCAGCAGCCCTCCTTCCCTCCTTTTCTCGTCAACCCATCAGCCTTCCTGGGGCCCTCCTCATGAAGGGGGCACCAGGACCCAGGTGCGAGGCAAGGCAGTGCCAGGCTGTGCGAAGGGCAGACTCTGTCAACGCAATGTCAGGAGGGTGGGGAACGGGCCCCACTTGACAGGAGGGAAGAGTTGTTGTTGTCGTCAGCACTGGCGGCAGGCAAAATATGGTGAATGGAGGCAAAGGGGCTCTCTAGGAATCCACTCTCCACAACCCTTGCAACGGTGGCGCTGGGAAGGAATGGAGAGCATATGTCTCTCTATCTCTCAGTGGGGGTGACTGGGGGAGATGAGTGGGCTCAAAGCCACGCCTAGAGCCGTGGGGACGAGGGGAGGAAGCCTGAAGGCCCCATTCTACCCTCATGTTCCATGTCTTTTATATTTGTTGTTGTTCCATTTTTTTCCTTCCAAACCTTGGTGAAAGTTTCCATGATGTCCAAGCTGAGGAGGGAGTTCGGAATTATTCTCATATCGCTTAATTCCCTTCTTGCCTTTACATCTATGGGTTTTCTTCCCATTTCTCTTCACCCCCTTCTTCCCAGTGGACTTTGAACCTCATCTCCTCCTCCTCCCCGTCGTCTTCCAGCATTTCCCACGCACCTCGACACCCCCCTCCATTTATCATCTAAACACCCACAATTGTTCAGCTTGCCATCCTTCCTTCTGAAGCTGCCATGAATTTGTAGTTTTCCCTACAGAATTACAGCAAACCCCCCCCATGTGCTTGTCACTCTACATTGTCTTTTCTTTCCTTAAGGGCATGCTCTCAGATATCTGTCCTAAACAGCTTCTTCCCCCACTTTTCTTTGCTTATTTCTTCAGTACCAAAATGAAGATCAATGGGGTGGTAACGGATTTGCTGTTCTCTTTGGCTTGAACTAAAGCACCACTGCTGGTGCCTCCAGCTCCAGAACCAACACCAGCGGCTGCTCGCTGGGGCGGCCGCATCGATCGACGCTCCTCACCATTTGAATTTCCTGCCATGGAGGGCGGGGAGGAGCGCTGCCCCCAGCCTCGTTGGAGCTCGTCGGGAGGCAAGCGGCCGGAGGGAGGGCCCCGGCCATGCTCAGACTTCCAGGCTTCTGCCGCTGCCACACGCTACCTCATCCCTTCAATTGCCCGCATGCAGGGGGCAGGTGGGCGCGGGGGGGCAGGGGCTCCTGCACGTGTGAAGTGGTGGGGGAATGTCTGTGAGCGCCTTTGGCACGCGCGCTCCCCAACCACTTTGTGCATGCATCAGAAAGCGCAAGCATGAGGGGCTGCCCCACCTCCCTCAGAGGCTCAGCTGGTCCGCAGTATGAAAAAGGTTGAGGACCTCTGTTCTAAAGCATGATGCTTATGAATCCAAATCCATGCCAAGGTCAAAAATGGACATCATTTATGCAGCCACGAACAGTAATACAGTAACTTGCCTGACTCTGGTAAAAGTCTGAGTGCCTGATTAGTCAGTCGACAGAGACAAAGAATGCACAGCTTATCTGGAGTCAGGGACCGCTCAGACCCTGTCTGCTAAGCAAACTTCTTGTAGCTTCATTCTTCTACTGAAGAACCCAGAAGAAAATGGAGATGGGAATATGTTGTGGAGAGGTTTACATATATATAAAAAGTGTTTGGACTGCCTGATCTCCATTTTTTACCACAGTTGTGAGAGTTCAAGAGATCTCTCTCCACTGCCCTTAATTGCAGATTTCAGCTAAGGTTTACTCTTGAAAAAGAATATTCACTGGACTCTGTATTTCCAGCCTTTAATATTTTTGTAATTAGATTTTAATTTAAAATATAGATTTTTAAGCATGGGAACTTTTATAAGAATCCAAAAGCAGTACAATTGCACACTGTCAGTCACGGACAGATACCGCATATACAGTACTCAAGTATTAGCCGATCCAAATATAAGCCAAGGCACCCAATTTTACCACAAAAAACTGGGAAAACTAATTGACTGAGTATAAGCCGAGGGTGAAAAATGCAGCAACTACTGATAAATTTCAAAAATAAAAACAGATACCAATAAAATTACATTAATTGAGGCACCAGTAAGTTAAATGTTTTTGAAGATACTGCCTGTGACATAGCAGGCCACTCTGATGTCACTGCCAACTCAGGCCTCTCAGAATGCCCACCACACCACTTCACACTCGCTGCCACCAATTATAATGACTATTTAAGAAGGACAAAGGTTTCCTTCAAAACAAAACAGGTTTATTGAAATAACAAAATAAAATATGTAAATCACAAGTAGCTAATCACGATGTCAATCACTGTTTCTTATTTAATCAATCACAGACTTTCCCTCACTGACGACTTAGGCACACAGGCCTCTAAACAAGCTCTTTCTCTCTCAGCTCTAGATCTGATCTCTCACTCTCTTGACACCCCTTTGTTTCTTCTAGCTCCTCCCTCTTCAGCCCCACCCTCCGTCACTCCATTGGCTGATGATTCACTGCCCAGCTGTGACGGACAGGTGAGGTCAGGGCTGCCTGTTACACTGCCCTTCTGAGCTACAAGACAAACTTCACTGCCTGAGGAGGGAGGACTCATACCTGATGCTGTGCTTATCTACTGCTGCATAACAAGATGGTGGGAGATAGAGGATGGAGGAGGAAGGTGGAAGGAGGAAGGTGGGTACGTAGAATATGCAGGAGGAGGAGGATGGGAGTGTCCTGGAAGCAGAAATGCAGTGTACTTAACCCAGGTCACCGGACCACCCACAGAGGCTGCAGGAGCCCGTAGATGAGCAGAGGAGTCCGGAGAACACCCGCACTGCAGGGGAGAACATGTAATTTTGCCACTGACTCGAGTATAAGCCGAGAGGATGCTTTTTCAGCAAAAAAAATTGTGCTGAAAAACTAGGCTTATACTCGAGTATATACAGTAAATTAAAATAAGTCAAATTATCTTGTAGAAAAACAAAAACAATTTAAATTAAATTTATACCAGAGCTACTTACTGTAATCTTCCCACTTTTACTGCAACAGGAACATGGGGAAGCTGAGCTGCCCACTTTAGAGTTACATCTTGATAAACATGTAGGATGCTGTCATGGTTTCCAATTAGTGTGTTTACTATAGTCCCAGACACTATAATACATGTAAAGATAATTTAGAAGCTATTCTTATTCTCATTTCTTGATATAATTAAGACTTCTTAAGATATAAAACTATTATGCTCATTAAGAGCAAAATATGAGAATGCTGTTGAAACTACTAGTGAGAAGCAGCTATTAAAATATTAGTGAATGTCATAGCAGGCAGCAACAAAATAAACCAAATACAGACAAATCAGAATACAATTTTGTAGTAAAGATTAGTAGTCTCACCCTTGTGCCAAGTGTTTACATATCTGTCAAATGCCACGTTAAAACACTAAAATGAAACTTTATAATAAAACTGTCTTTTATACCAAAACAAAGCTAAAACAAGAACAATCTGCAGCACCTTTTTATTTAAGTACATCTCATTATTTTAATTGAGTGGAAATACTATAGATGAGTTAACAGTTTGGTAGATTAGAACAGGATCAATTAATCCCTCCGCAGCTTCTACACTAGCAAAAATAAAAAGACTTGCTCCATAACTGGTATGAAAATGTTGGGGGCTGGCAGATTGAGCTTGACCAACATATTCATCCTCTACCAGATCACAGAGCAGAAGCCCTGCTTAAAAAGCAACTTTCCCATATAAAAGTTAGTAACCTTATTTACAAGGCTGCCCTGCTGTTTATGAAGATGATATCTTCTGTTTTGATAATTCTCATGCAAAAAAGAATTCCACAACTCAAGGCTAACTACTGAGAATGTCCTTTTACATGACTGCACTGTTTAACTTGCTATACAGTTATTAAACTCAAACTTACATTCTTCAAACATTTTTAGAAATTGGAACTAGACCAGTACAGACACTAATAAAGGAGCCCCACCTCATTTAGGATGGTTTAATTAAGCTACTGTATATCTAACCATCTCAATGCTTTAGTCACACATGCATTTGGAAAAATATCAACTCTAAAAGTTCAGATTAAAAAATTTATAAATCTATTCCTAATCATATAATGAACTGTCCATTACTTAAAACTAACGCAATCAAATTTCAACAGGAAGTTGGCAATAGCATAACAAACAAGCAATAATTACAAACAGTTGGTTTGGATAGAAACTACTGTAGTTAGTTAGTACCAACTAAAAACTGGTTTTAACAAGAAACTGCTTATGTTTACAAACCTGAATATGGAAGAAAACAACTTGGGCTGCGTTCAAGCTTTTTTATAAACCGAATTTGTCCATTATCCTTGAGGCAAAAGAAATTTCTCTCTCCAAGCACAAATACACTGGAGAGAAGTTGATTGACTGAAACAACACATATATCCAGAGCTTGCTCTCCAATATTTAAAACCCAATCCACCTTAAGAAAGGAGATGAAGTGAATGTACAAGAGAGTGAAATATAGTTTAGAAAACATTAACAGATTTATTCTACTTGAAACAAAATAATTTTTTCAGCACAAAAGCCCTGACAAAATTGAGACAAAATCTGTTTTCTTTTGCATAGTATAGCATGCTTTCTTTTTCAAAAAATGTGAAAGGTCCATAAAAACTCTCCTAGTTAATTTCATATTATATAGTTACAGCTAGACTAATTAACTAAGTTACATTGAAAATAAATTGGTTTTATCTTAACAGTGGTTTTATTCTAAATTGGTTATATCCTTACAATGTCTTTCTCTCGGTGAAACAGACACCGTTGGCAGATCAGATTCCCATTCCCTCCATCCTCAAATCACTTGCTACTCATTCAAATCTGTTCTGGTGAGCTGAGGGACTCTCTAGAGATATGATATGTGAGCAATGGGATGCAAGGGAGAAGAGGGAAAGTAAATTTCCAGTTGTGAGGTCAGAAATAACAGTAGATCTAGCCCAACAGCACTTAAGTACTATAGATGAGATTTTTTGTATTTTTTTGTATTACAAATCCCATAATTCTCCATTTTACCTGACAGACAATCACCTAAATATGAATCACCTGGGAGAAAGGTCTGAACTGGAAGGTTCTGAGGACTAGCTCTGCATTGCTTCCTGTTTGAAAATGAAGCTACCAGCTATTATCGGGCAGTAAAGGAAGCCTAGGTAGAGTTAGGCTTCAAAGCCAAGTTTAGGCATTTCTCCTAGGTCAGTTATATCCAGCTGTCTAACAGGGAGACATCCCAGGGAACGACAAATTACCCACCTGTAATTGAAGTTCTTCGAATGACCTCTGTGATTCACAATCTAGATGATCCATGCCTGCGCGGAGCCTCGTCAGACAGTTCTAGAGCTTCTACAGTAGCAAAAAAAAACCACATTAGAATAAAGCCCCTCCCCCCTCGTATAAGTACCTTGACGCCAAGGCTCCCCTTTCAGTTGTGTCAACCGCCGCTAAATTAAGCAGAATGCCGTGACAATGGGGAGGATGGGCGGGATGTGTGAATCACAGAGGTCCACTTGAACTGCAATTACAGGTGGGTAACCTGTCGTTCTTCGTGGCCTCTGTGAATCACACCTTGGGTGACTAAAAAGCTGTCTTGCCCAGAGGCAGGGTGTCACGCCAACACAGAGGCTAGAACAGCATGTCCGAGGGCGGCATCAGACTTCTGCTGGAGATCAAGTCTATACTAAGAGTGGATGGATAGAAGTGGACAGCTGTGCCCATGTGGCAGAGGCACAGATGTCTGGAAGAGGTACGTCATGTAAGAATGCCGTAGAGGTTGCCACTGCTCTGGTGGAGTGAGGGCGAATCACCTTCGGGATGGGTTTGTGTGCCAGCTTATATATAAGGTGAATGGTTGAAGCGACTCATCTAGATATAGTTTAAGACGCCATCTGGCAACCTTTAGTAGGTGGTTGGTGACTTGTGAAGTCGAGGTGAACACCTGAAAGGTTGGGTGCCTTCAACGTAAAAGGCAAGGCCTCACCTAATGTCTAAAGTATGGAAGAGTCTTTCTTGCGTTGTGGATGGTGATGGGAAGAAGGAAGGAAGGATAAATGGCTGAGACAGATGGAACTGAGATACGACTTTGGGAGGAAAGAAATATCCATGGATAGTTTGACTTTGTCTGGAAAGAACTGTAAATAAGGATAGTCATGACATAAGGCCGCTAAATCACTGCCTTGTCAAGCTGAGGCGATGGCGACAAGGAAAACTGTTTTAAAGGTAAGTAGCTGTGAATCACTTTAAGCTAAAGGCTTCAATACCTAAATATTAAGGATTTAGGTAACAAGCGCTTATGGTTTTTGAAGTTTTAGATGAAGTGGATGAGCATCGGAATGGGATGGTGCGGTTGCTTTGAGGCTTCAGAAAGAGCCTTCTACATTGCTTTTGTTTGTGAGGTGGTCTTACAAAGAGGCGGGCCATTTTGGTTGGCTGAAGGGATTGTTGCCAAAGACGGAGTTTGAATCTGGATAAGCGAGAATGGAGGACTCCGCTCATGAAGTTCTTACAATGGTGGCAGGAGCACATCTGGTGTGCCTCTCCCAAACAAAAACGACACTTGGTGTGGCCATCGGAGAGTGGTATTTTGTTATCACAGACCACACAGTGTTTAAACGGGCCCAAAGGGGCCATGAATAGGAGAAAATAAGTTGAGGAGAAAAAATGATGACCGGGTGAGGGGGTGCTGCTGTGGCCAGAGGCCGTGCGAAGCAGAAAGAAAAAAATCTCTGATGATAATGAATTTGATCTAAAAGTTTAAAGGAAAAAAGATTAAAAACAGGAAGGAATCAAGAATAAACTCTCTTTCTCTTTTACTCACAGAATCAGAACTATGAGGGTCTCAACGCAGCAGTTGAAAGAAACTGAAAGGGGAGCCTTGGCGCCAAGGTACTTATACGAGGGGAGAGGGACCTTATTCTAGTGAGTTTTTTGCTACTGCAGAAGCTCTAGAACTTTCCGATGAGGCTCCGCGCAGGCGCGGATCACCCAGGGTGTGAATCACAGAGGCCACGAATAAGAACTCTGGGATCCGTAGTCCCAAAAAGTCCAAATTCCATCCCTACTAACTACAGTTAACTCCATCTGTATCTAACCAACAGCTTTCTTACAGTATGACAGTTGTAAAGTGGAGTATAACAACAAAGTGACCCATCTCACAAGGTGTCACTTCATCTTTCCTATACTGGATTTTAATAGCATTACTGGAGACATCATATCATTTTCGGACAATTTTTGTTTCTAGTTGCTTTATAAGTTTCTCTAGTGTCCATTCTTAAAACCAATTCATGAAAGGCAATTTTTCATCATGGTGACAAATGGCAAACAAAGAATGAACTTGCATAAAAATGGTAGAAAATCAACAAAGATACAATCTTGGTACCAATAATGTTAAGCGAGACTTTTGCTTACTTTCCACAAATAGAAGAGCATTTGATGTTTGATATAAGCTTCTTTAACAATTCCTTCATATTTAAACACATGGATGCTCCCTATTCTCATACATAATGCAACAATATTTTTGGAAAACCAAACACAAGCTTCTCAGTTGGAGTAGAGACAGTGATTAAAGAACCATATTGACAGAGCAATTCTATGAACACCTAGGCTGAAGCAGGTCCCATTAGGCCCCACTTTGAAAGACAATGGACTTACTCCCAGGCAAATGCATACAAGACTACTGATTAAGGAAACTGGACTCTTGACATTAACTCAGAAGGTTCTCTAATATCAATGTATTCTCACAGATTATTTATATGAAATAAAAGTTACCACAAGCCTTTTTCCAGACCCAAGCTTTTGTTCCTCCTTTTCTTGTGTCTCAGCATCTTTTGCAAATGCAAGCACTTGGTACCTATTATTTCAAAATAAAACAAAACCACAGACATGCACGCACAATCTCTTTATCAATGAATATTTTAATGAGTAAAGATTTATATAAGAATGCATGGGAAAATTGCTTTACTTTTTAATGCAGGCTTTAATTCTATTATGAGATTAAATAATATGCATTGAACTGGCAGGTTGAAATTTAACAAGGGGTGAAAATAGGTTTTGAACATATATCCCCCTTCATATATGAAAACTGATAGTCAATAACTTTTGTTTCAATAGGTGAACATTTGAATGTTTATGGTAGATCATAATCTATATTCAAGTACCTCAGCACATGATACATGCAATAAAATAGTGTCAGATATTTGAAAACACACTTAAATAGCAATACACAATCTACTGAAACTACAATCACTGGGCCTCAAAAACTAACTTGATGCTGAATTTCAGAGCCAATTAGGTCTCCATAATTAGGTCACCCCTACAGAGAAGACCCTCTGCTGTGTTATTTGCATAGCATATGTATGTCACTGATGGGTCACAGATTTACATGTATTTTCACGTTTTGCCCTACATACAAATTTATGCATAAGAAATCTGTAATGTTTAAAGTGGCTTTCTAACATTCAGAAACAGAACAAAGAAAATGAGGTGCAATCCTGTTGATTTTTATTATTATCATCAAAATGTGTCCCTTAATGGAAATGAGATACTTAGTTAAATATACTTTTGATCAAATTAGTATAGTGATCTTCATTTCAGATAAAATCTATCTTTATTTGATGTTAGCAGAGCTTGAAGTAACTAGTTGCAAATAGTTACCTATAGTTCTGCTTTCCAATAACTACATTACAGTTTGTGTGTGTATAAGTGTGACCTATACAGGTAACAGAAATGCAACCTTATTAAACAAATGAGAAGGAATAATACATGCTTGTGCTTTACAAGTGGAATAAAGACTGCAATTAACTAGGTTTGAGGCCTTGAAACTGTAACTAATTACTTTTAAAAAGTAAAGTCCAAGTTCTTTACGCAAAAGAAGGTAAAGAACAGATAGAAAATAATTTCTTACATATTTCACATCATACGTACTTGTAGCTCTCAACCTGCCAACAGGAAGAAACAGTAATGAAGGAATCTGTTCGAGAACTGTATGTCAGTGGACCAGGTAGAAGAAAGCCAGGTAAGAAACGGCCAAATGAATAGCTTTCCTGTTCAAACAACATTAGCATTCCATCCACAGATTGTATACAGATCAAATCTCGACCTAAATAAAAAGGAAGCAGAGTGGTGTATATATAAGCTATTTTAACACAGAAAGGAAGGTCTGAATTGTTACTGAGACAATGTACTTGTATGTGTAAATCTGCAATTGTGTCTGTTGAACAAACATAGTGCGAAACTTCTGAGTACTCATCTGAACACACCAATAGAATGAAAATTCAGATTTGTTCCACAGAGAGAAGTAAACCTTCGAGGGCAGTCATTCTCAATTTGGGGGGGGGGGGGCATAGCAATAAACACAATATGAAAGAAATGCAGGCCAAATCAGGATTGTATAAGTCACATAACGGATTTTATAAGGTGTGAACAATTGTTTGCAGTATATGCCTCCCTTCAGATGTACCAGCCATATGAACCCCATTGAGAATGGATGTTCTAGGGAAGAAACTTTTACATTCTGTTTGTTGCAACCATAGTCCTTTATTACGAGGCTATTTGTGGTCTTCCTCTGATTTATGGCTTTTCTTCAGAAGTTTAAAAAAAAATAATTTTATTTCCAGTATTTTAAGTGTGTTTCAAGTAGTTTGATGATCTGCGTAAAACTGCCTATGTAAGACCTCCAAAAGACTTTTAATCTTGATACTGATTACACACAGAATGGGGTTTATTTCTGGTTAGCCTATATCATTTGCTTTAAAATTATTTTAGTTTTATTTATTTTCTTCAATTATGTAAGAGTTGAACAATTGTTTATGCTCTATTTGCTGAGACCAGAAGTTTCTTTATCTAACAACTTTCCTTTCCAATAAGAATTCTTAAAACATAATATATTATTGTTAACACCACCAATGTGCAGTTTGCACAATACAAGTTGGCAAATTCAATATCTAATTATCTTACAATGTGCCATTCAATAGAGAGTAGCCAACAAAGAGGGAAAATGCCAAGTGGAGGCAGCAGTAAAGGAGGAAAGAATAAATTGTTTTAGTCACCTATATTTAGGATACCTAGCGTGGAGTAGCAGATAGAGTGATGGGCAAAGACTCAATCACCACTCGGCCATGGAAGCTCACTGGAGGTTTGAAACTGGAAAAACCACTCCTTAACTATCTCACCTTGAAATTCCTATTAGGATCGCTATAAGGTGGTTCAGACTTGATGCCACATAACACTTAAGTTCGGATATCGGCTTAGTTAAAGCACAAAATGAGAAGTCATGTGCTGTTTCCACAGGAGCAGGCCCCAAAGTCTAGGCCTTATCAGACTAAGGCGTACCACAATCCCGGCCAGGGGAGTTCAGAACTAGAGATGGTTTATACCAGTTTGTGCCAGTTTGTGGCACCAAGGTTTTTGCCAGTTCCTGCCGGTATGTCAGAATGGCACCACAGGCGCTATGTATTCCCTTCCCCCACCCACCCTGGCCAGCTCCCCCACTCACCAGCTGGCGTGTGCACTGCTCTTCTCTTCACACAATCATCTAGTTCCAGCAGGTGTGTGTGCTTCCCTCCTCTGCCTCCTCTGGCAGCTGCCCACTCAGACAAGGAGGTGGGGCAGGAATTTCTGAAGAACTGCCTTTGAGTGGGCAGCTGCCAAGGGAGGTAGAGAGGGAAAGCAAGCACTGCTACTGGGACTGAACAATCACACAAAGAAGAGAACATACTAATGAAGAAATGCAGAAGTGTTCAACTTACATTATTTAAAATCAAATATCTTACATTAAAAGGCACATACACTTTAGAAATATTTTAGGCAACTTTTATTTATTCATTAATTAATTCTCAGGAGTCCTAATGTATGAACCAATATTCTTCTGGCATAATGGGAAATCATACTGTAGTTGCAGACTCTGCAAGTATGCCATTATGACAAGAAATGAGATAGAGTTTCAAGCAAATCTCAACACATACATCACATTTTTCTCATTCAAATAAAACAATCTTTTTGAAATAAAAATGCTGTATCTCTTAATAAGTGATGCAGTATCTCAAAGTGCAAAAGGCTTTTTCATCCATTCCCTGTTGATCAAAAACACATTTCTATTATACCAAGAGGTTTAATAAAAAAGAGCTAACAGTTTGAGTTAACAAAATCATAAATCAGCATATTAAAAGGATTTCAGTAACTTTTGAAAAGAATTCTGTTTCCTTTATTAAACATGAAATAGAATGAAACAGCACATTAATCATGACATCTAAAGGAAGGTAGTTAACCAATGAAAATGGATCTTTCCACACTGGAATACATAAAAAATCATTAGATATTTTTCCCCAAAGAAACTGAAGTATAGAAATATAGTCCAATAACAATCATACTGCATTATCGCATGGAGTTGGTGGAAAGAGGCAGACAAAACATCATTTCCGCATTTAATTTTTTTTCTATCACTGTGATAAACACAAAATACCTCTAAGATTCCACCTCTTTAAACCTCTCACTATAATTTCCAGTAACCACTTAAATTTGATTGTTTCGATCACAGCACATTTAATCTGTATTATTCTGAACTTAGTTTCATATTTCCAAGTGCCAGTAGTTTTAATAATTTCCTATTGCTTTAGAACTCAGTACATTTTCCTAGGAAATATAAGGCGTTAACAGTTTAAGACAATGAATAAATGCTTTCTTTTACTTAATTCAATCATTTTAACAGAATTACAAGCTTAACATTCAAAAATATTAAAGCCTTTTTAAACAGTTGGTTTTAGAATTATGAGTCTCTTTCAATATGTTTTTATCTGATAAAATAGGGTATGTGGCTTCTGTTCAATTAAGACTTTATTTTTTATAACATCAATTAACATGTACCTCCATACATGTATACATATATATTCTTAGAGGTAAATAATAGACTCTTGAAATCTAGAGTCAGACTTTAGAATTCTTAAGCAAGTCTTTACCTAGTCCAAAACACAGTGGTGCCTCGACTCACGAACTTAATCCATTCTGGAATGGTGTTCGTAGGTCGAAATGCTCATAAGTCAAAGCACCATTTCCCACTGAAATGCATGGGAACGGAATTAATCCATTCCAGCATTTCAAAAAAAAACTACCCAAAAAAAGCACACAGAAAGCCCCACTGGAAGGCGCTGGAGCTTTAAAAAAATAACAACCAAAAAATAAACAGAGCAAGCCCCGAAGACTGCAAAAAAAAAATAAAATCAAAAACAAACAACACAGCACAGAAACATAACCCCCCCTCAGCCAAAACCCACCCTGAAAACCCAACCAGAAGTTTCTAAAAAGCAAAAAGTGGAACCTTACCAGGCAGACCATAGCCTCCTCCAATGGCACTCACTCCGTGGCGGATAGTAGCCAGCGACAGGCCCCGGCCAGCGGCACAGGGCAGCCAAGGGGGCAGCGGTGCCCCTTACTCATGAATAGACCCGTGCCTTCAGCAGGCTTTATTCATGAGTAGACTCATGCCAGGGATGAGCAGGGAGCACACCAGCTTCCCGCGCCCCACTTTTCCTTCCTCCTCCTGCGCCGCCGCTGCACGCCACGTGCATGGAGGAACCCCTCTGACCTATGGACCCCAGCCCAGTGCCTTTGGTGGCCCTTTCTCATGAGTAGACCCACAGCTTTAGCAGGCTTTTCTCATGAGTAGACCCACACCAGGGATGGGCAGAGAGTGCACCGGCTTCCTGCGCCCGGCGGCGATGTGGAGCAGCCCCCACCTCTCCTTCCTTCTCCTGCGCCACAGGAGTAAAAAAGTTCCCTGACCCCCTGCTGTAACCGTTGAGGAGAAACAGCTACAAAGAAGCAGCCTCTTCGCCACCAACGGTTTGAATTTCCCGCCTTTCCCCCCTACCTTTTTCTGTTCTTATGTTGAAGCTCCGCTCGCAAGTCGAAGCAAAATTTTGCACTGAGCTGTTCGTAAATCGAAATATTCATAGATAGGGGCGTTCATATGTCGAGGCACCACTGCATTAAAAAATAAATTGCTTGATTTCCACTAGTTTTTCTGACATTCTGAGATTTTGCGGATTCAATCTGGTAAAAATTCTAGAGGTAAGCAATAATGTTCCAGATAATAGTGAGCAAGATCAACCAATAAAATTTACTGAAGTCTTTTTTATGAACTGTTTTAGTATTGCCAGATGACTACAATTTTGATAGAGCTCACCGTGTAGCGACTCATTTTTCGCAGGGATCTCACGAAACCTCTTCCATTCCTCATAAGATTCCTGAGTTTTTCTGTTAAAGAGTTTTTACTGCGACGTGCGAGGGAAAAGAAGGATTTGTTTTGGGGGCAAGGAGAGCATTGGTCTGATATTTCCAGATTAAACTGAACGCGTGGTCCAGCAGCAAAAGGCATTCACCATCAACCATAAACTGGCACACGGGAAAACCATTGAGCACTTTGTGAACTTTCCAGCTATCTTCTGTATTAGACCTTGTTCTCAACTGCTTCATTTTAATAACCCTGAAGAAGCTGAGAATTATACAGCTGTGCCTCGCATAACGAGCGCACCGTTTAACAACGAATTCACATAGCGATCCGTTTTTTGGGATCGCTAATGCGATCGCATACCGATGGTTCCAATGGGCAAAAATTGCTTTGCGACGATCAGTAAGGGGTTCGCTCACCTATCTTCGCTTTGCGATGTCGGGGGAACAGCTGATCGGCGGTTCCAAAATGGCCGTCGTAAGACTCAAAATGGCCACGCGCAGCGTTTCGCGCCCTGCCCTCGCTTACCGAGGGCGCGAAAATGCCTGCGCTATGGAGGAACATCGCTGAACGGTGAGTTTGGGGCCCATTGGAATTTTTCTATTCCGTTGATTCACCAGTTCTCATATGTTAGCTGAAGCACAGTAATTTGGGGGGGTTTATACTGGTTTGTTTCCCCTTCATGGATTGCTGCCTCGTCATGGTGAAGGGCCTTCAGTAATTCAGAGAAGCTATGGGCTATGCCGTGCAGGGACACCTAAGACTTTGTATCCTCAGCATCTGTTTTAAAGGATTGAGTGACCTATTGGTGCAGGATTGCCTTATGGGGTGGGGGGAGGGATGGGGAAATCATATTGTACTTCCACAATATTGGA